GTGCACCGTAGAGGGTGAGGTTAGTTGGTTTCAGGGGGGGAATGATTGTCGGTGACGAAGTGTCAGACGGAGTGCCCCGTGGTACGTGAGGGTGCGAATGCGGGTGCGAACAGCGAGTGCGGGTGCGGGTGCGGGTGCGAGTGCGGGTGCGAGTGCGAGTGCGGAAGCTTAGGGGACGGAGAGCGGGCCCCTATGACTAGCAGGGTGTTTCCGTACTCGTCGCACATGTCGTTTAGTTCTGTGTTAGTTCTCCAGGCTCCGAGGTCTCGGGTGAGCGTGTTGTTGTTTTTGTTGTTGTTATTGTGTTATTGTCGTTGTCGCTATTGTTGTAGGTGTTATTGCTGTAGTTGTTTTTGTTGTTGCTGTTGTTGTTGTTGTTGTAGTATTCCCCTACGGTCGGTCCGCCCGATTCCCTTGGGGTCCTGTTGCCTTGTTTTCTTATTGCTTCCGCCAGACTGACGGCCGCCAGGGCGAGTTTACGGTGGGCTTTGATGTCCTTGATAATGTTGCGATGCTGCAGTTCGATGGTGTACTGCAGGTGCTTTATTGTATTCAGATGGATCTCGTCTCTCCCCTCCCCGTCAGAACCGTCCAATTCCCGGATGATTTTGCTAAGTTCGAATGCGGCGGGACACGATTCGCTACTTTGATGCGGCGCAAATTCCGCTTTTAGTTGTTCTCTCAAGTTGGCGAGGGTCGCCGCATTCGAGGCAAGCCCGTGTGGGGGAAGGGGGGGGAGGAGAGAACGAAGTTGGTGATGTCGACCTGAGGGAGGCAGCCGGCGCAGATTCCGAGGCGGGCTCGCCGGCGCTTCGTCGCCGCTCAGTCGTGTCGTCCATGCTTGTTGTGTTTGTTTCTTTCTAGGTTCGTATCGATTGTGATATTCGATGTGTAATTACCCTTTTCCTGTTACAGGTGGTGAAGGCGGAGGAGAGGGAGGGAGGGGACGGCAACGGCGACGAAGAAGACCTCGGCGACCGCGGCTGCGACTGCGACTGCGGCGGCGACGGCGACGGCGACGGCGAAGCACGGGGCAGGGCGGAGCGGCCGACGGAGAAGGGAAGCGAGGAGAGGAGACGCGGGGATCGTCGAGCTGCGTAGGGAGGGGTATTCAGCTTCGCTTCCCTCAGAGGATCTCGGGTGAGCGATGTGTCCAGTATATCCGGTGTGTCTTGGTTATTGTAATATCCGTACTAGTTGATTGTTCCGGTTGCTGTTGTTGTTGTCCTTGTTGAGGCGACTCGCGAGACGGTCTCGTGCGATGGATTGGATTAAGTAATATGATATGATAGGATAGTATGGTATGACCTGGAGGCGACGGGACTAGTGATCGATGTACGGGGAGCCTGCGGGGTGGGGAGAGGGAGAGGAGGGGGAGGAGGAGGAGAAGGGGGGTGAGGGGGGGGGATGCAGAGAGTGACGGGGGCCGTGGGGTTGGTTTCCTTGTCCGATTCCGTTTCCGATAACAATTCAGGGTGACATCTTTCTCCTCAGGGGACGCATGCCCCGTCCTATGTCCGAGACGGGGGAGTGTGGGGCCGGGGCCGAGACTGTTCCGCGTTCCGATGGTGCCAGTGGTGATGAAACGGTTGCCTCCGCGGCGGTCGGCGTCTCGCTTTCCCTGGGCGTGCTTCCGTTGAAGGTTTTTAATTTGGAGTAAATATCCCCTATCAGGTCGGTGAATTTTCTCGCGAGCTCCTTGCCCCTCCTGTGATTTGTAAAGTCTTTTAATCCTAACGTCCCTTCGGCGCCCAGGAACCTGCAGGAGAGAGTGAAATTTCTCCTGGGTTCCTGGAAGCGGGTGCACTTTCCTATCAGGTGGTCGGGGGTTTGTATGCTGGTGTTATCACAAGGGCATCTATCATTATTGGTTAGACCGAATCTGCGTAAATACTGGAGGTGGGCTCCGTGTCCGGTTATGAATTGTGTCGTGTAAAAGTCATTGTTGTGTATGTCTCTGAAGGCGAGGAGGTCCTCTAGTTCCGGGAAGAGCTCCCTCGTTCTGGCTCCAGTGGTCGCCGTTCCGTACAGGGTTTTCCATTTTTCAAACGCTCGTTTTTTTGAGAAATTCTTAACAGCGGACATGGGAGCCTTGTCGTAGGCTATCCTCAGGGAGGGGTGATCTGCGGAATGTTTGGCCGCCCTGTCGGCAATTTCGTTCCCAATAATGCCTTTGTGCGCGGGGACCCAGGCTAGGTTGATCTGCGTGTCTCTCGCTGTGGTTGTGGCCGTTGATATAGCTGTTGTTGTTGTTGTTGATATGACTCTTGAGATGTTTTCCTGTATGGCATGCACCAGCGGGTGGGTGGAGCTCCTGCCTTGCGCCGCTAACAGGGTGGATAGCGAGTCGGTGCAGATCCAAGTTTCGCGTCCTTCGATCGCATCCCTGGCGGCCATTTCGCACGCTCGTCCCAATGCCAGGGCTTCGGCCTGGAAGTTCGAGCACCAGGGGCTGAGTTTGAAGCCGGTGATTTCAATCTTTTGAGTTTTGTTCAGGATGAGTACAATGTGCGGCGGGGAGTCCACTCCCATGTGGATTAATTCTATGGACTCGCTCGTGTCCGCGTCTTTGTTGGTTTTTGTCCTTGTTTTTGTTTTTGTTTTTGTTTTTGTAGTTGTAGTTCCTTCGTTGTTCGTGTCGAGTACTGTGCTCGTGTTCGTGTCCGCAGAGTGCGAAGGTCTCGAACGCTCGACCTCGGTTATGCGTGGATTCGAATTCGAACTCGAATTCGGATTCGGATTCGGAAAAGTGAACTCGGAGAGGAGGGGGGAGGGAGGGGAGGAGGAGAGAGGGGGGGGAGAGGCGGCAGCGGCCTGTGTCGAAGGCATAGGCGTAGGCGTAGGCGGTGGCGGAGGCGGCGGCGAAGGTGGTGGTGGTGGTGCCGCTGATGTTGGTGAAGAAGAGGAGGACGAAGAAGGAGGTGGAGGTAGTGATGATGGTTGATGTCTGACGATGGCTGCCCCTGTGTTGCCTCTCCAGTCTCCTTTTCTGTTGGGGGCCTTGCTGCCGTCGGTGTAATAGACCACCGCGTTCTCCGGGATGATTTCCGACAACTTGGATTGATTAGGCAGAATTCTGAAGTCGGGGGATATCCTTAGGGCGGGGTGTGCCAGCTTGCTTACTTGTGTTTTGCCCTCTATCGCGACCTTCTTTTTGGTGTGGTTCGATTCCAGTTCCTCCGAACTTAACGTGATTCTGGCCTTGTCCACGCTGGCCACTCTGGCTATCTCTATGTCGAGCGGGAGGAAGCCCGCCAGGGCGTTGGCCGCCACATTGGACACGGTCTTGTATGCCCTAATCGCCCTAATGGCGAAGCCTCTCTGCGCCGCCTGTAGCTTTCTCTTGTGCGCGTTCACCTCGGCTGCGGCTCCCCATATTCCGGCAGCGTAGGTGATCGTGGGAACCACCGCGTGTTTGTAGATTATCTCGATTATTTCTGGATTAAGACCCCACGAGGGGCGAGCGAAGAGGGTGAGCCTTTGGAAGAGTCTTTGGGCCTTTTTGATCGCGTGGTCCACGTGGTTACCGAAGCGCAGTCTGTTGTCGATGATCACTCCGAGTATTTTGATGTGATGCGAGAGGTCGATCGGTTGATTGCCTATTGTTAATTTAGCTCTGGCCGCGCGCGGGGTGAAGGCGAGAGCCTTCGTCTTGTCGCTGCCGAAAATGAGTTTGTTTTCGATGCCCCATTTCCGAATTTTTTCCAGACAGTGGTTCGCTTTGCTCTCCAGTGAGGCCGTGTCGTCATCAGAGACTATCATTAGTACGTCGTCCGCGTACGCTTGTAGTGTTACTCCTTCCGGCAGTGTGTCGTTGAGTAGCGGATCCAGTATGATGTTCCAGAAGGAGGGTCCGCAGGCGGATCCTTGAATGCATCCTCTGTTCATGTGTTTTGCGGCGGTGGCCCCCGCATAGTTCAAGATGACCTTCCTGTCTCTGAGATAACTGCGGACCAGGTTGAAGATGTTCTTTGGGCAATTGGACTTTCTCAGGTTGTCTAGTAGCGCAGGCCACCAGGCCGAGTTGAAAGCGGCCCTTATATCTAGAGATATCGCTAGGCATGGTTTACGGGCGCTCTTTGCCCGTTCGATATCGTCAATGGCCTTGGCCAGAGCGTGTAGTGTGGAAGTGTTTCTTTTGAATCCGTACTGATTTGGTGAGTTTCTTGATTTTGTCTCCAGGTGATGATTAATTCTGTTTATGAAAAGTTTCTCTAATAATTTGCCGAAGACAGGTATGAGGCCTATCGGTCTCTTGCTCTTAGGGGATTCAATGTCCTCCTCCGAGGAGGCTTTCGGGATTAGTTTCACCACCGCTAGCTTCCAACACTTGGGAAAATGTCCTATTTCCAGACACCTGTTGAACAGATTGATGAAGACATCAGGCATAGTGCTGAAGGCACTTCTGCAGATGTCGGCCGTCAGTCCGTCCAGACCCGGCGCTTTCTTTTCCGAGAATTGTCTTAAGGCTTCGAGGATCTCGTCGTGGCTGAATTTGTGGTCTTCGCCAGAGTCCGGTTCTGTGTCGCTCTCTCTTCTTATTAGCCTTTGCTGCTCGGTGTCTTCTTCGGGGCAGTCCTCCGGGTAGTGGTGGTTCAACAGGATCCTGGCGGATTCCTCCGCATTGTTGGCCATGTACTCGTCGTGGCCGTCGTTCGTACTGTCGTTCGATGCGATCGCCGTTCTTCCTCTGACCGTGGCCGGCGGTGGGACCGGTCTGCCTGTGGCTTTGATTACCGGATTAACGATCTTCCATATGTCGTCTAGGTTTTTATTTTGGCAGAACTCTCTGAAGCTGGCAGCGGATTCAGCTCTTATGGCTTCGTTGTAGTTTTGAATTTTCTCGTGTAGCTCTGCCAGTTGTCCTATTCGAATTTCGTTCTCTTCTTCGCTCGGCCTTCTGTCCCTGACCGTTGTCGTTCTGATGTTTCTTTTCATGTTTATGATTTCCTTTTTTAGCTTTTCTAATTTCTCGTTCCAGAACGACGTTCCTTTGCGCGATTCTCTACTTCCGTCTGTGCAGGGGAAGGACGCTTCCGCAGCTAGATTGATCACTGTGGTGAGTTGTCTAACGAAGAACCCAAGAGTTACAAAAAATATCGCAATTTCCGACATTTTTGAAACCTAACCTCACGTTAGGTGGAATAAAATCGCGGCGATAACAGTTAGTAGCAAACTTCCAACGGATATAACTGGGAGTGGACGAGACCCAAAAAGTCTCCATAGAAGGTTTTGACGTAGGTCGAATATTGACGAAGTTCTGGGGTTAGGTTTGTGTGAGTCTGTTGTAAATACTCAAACCTAACCTAACCTAGCTTGACCCCAGGTCGGACTAGGGCTGGGATTTCGACTAAACTAAGAAGTGTGAGGCGATTCGACCATTGGACTCACTGCTTTAGTGAGTCTTCTGCTCGGAAAACGCCCATAGGAGTTGAGGTACGACAAGAAATCTTGTCATTTTTACCTATTTCGACGACATCGCGGTCACGGATAGGGGAGTTGAAAGGGATTTAAGAGTGACTTGTTCAAGTGACTAACGGCTTTCGTTGGGCACTTGGACAAGCCATCTTTTGGTATAAAAAGGACAGCTGTAACTTAAGAGTTGAAAAAGTTATAGCGATTTTCGACTTTTTCCAAACCTAACTTCACGTTGGGTTGGATAAAATCGTGGGCATAAGAGATAGGCGGAAACTCTCTAAGGAGCTCAGTAGGGAGTGGACGAGATCTATCAAACCCCGCAAACGGCGAGAGGCTAGGTAGAAAGTTGTCAATTTTACGGGGTTGGGTTTTTGGGGGGCATTTGGTCATACCCAAACCTAACCTCAGTCAACCTAACCTAACTTAAAGTTGAGTTTTGGTATAAACATCAACTATTTCGACTCTTGAGGCATATGTGAGGTAGAGACCACGTTTCCCAATATGTCTGGGGACGAAGAGTCTGCCAGGGCCAAAAGAGAAGATAGGATGAAGAGAGAAAGAGAGGATAGAAGAAAGTACGAAGAAGAAAAGGCCGATTCGGCCAAGAGAGAACAGAGGGAGAACTCAAGGTCTCCAATAAAGGAAGACTCGAGGAAAGAGAAGAGACAAGAGGGAAACGGACGTTCCAAAAATAAAGGAACCTCCGAAAAAGAAGGCAACACAGGTAAAGTGAACCTGAAGTATGCGCACAATACTCCGGTGAGGATTGAGAGCGATAGGGAGGAAGTAAATACGGAGGAAATAAGAGGGAATCTGAGCAGGGCAAGCAGCATAGGAAGCATCAGAAGCATAGGCAGCATGAGAAGCTGCTATGTAAAACTGAATGCAACCTCTCAGAAAAAGGCAGGGAATAGTTACAATCATAGCCAGAAGGAAAGGGAGTCGCAAGAGACACCCAAGAGGGAAACTAGAAGCATGACTGCGACTAGACAAACAAAAGGAAAAGAAAATAGAGAAGTGGGAAAAGATAATGAGGAATCGGAAGACAAGGACAGCCATAATAGTTTCAACATGACTGTAACCCCGATCCCGATATCGGCAAACAAGAAAGGTATCAAGAAAGGATACCCAGTGGCCACAGGAGAGTATGAGGGACTAAAGGCCACACAAGACAAGATAGACAGGAGACTAGGTCTAAAAGAGGATAGAGAGATGGACATTCAGACGGACCTAGAATCCGAAAATTAGGAGATGGCCAGCATACTGACCAATAAAGCAAGGAAAAGAGGGAGAAATTATAAAAGAGAAAGAGAAAACAGAAGCAGGAGCAGAAGCACCCTGGATTCGGATACGAACAGCAACAGGGAAAGATGGATGAAAGAGAAGGTGTCGGGAGAGAACTCTAAAGAGCAACACAGCTCGGACTACTCCTCCTCCTCACCACCTCCACAAAAAGTGGCAAAAGAAGGAAGAGGGACAAAAGAGGGAAGAATCTCGAGCTGTGGAAGTGAGTGGGACGAGGAGATAGAGTTTAGAGACTGCGGGGAGGACCAAGAAACAGAGAAAGAAGTTGATAGGATAGACGTCAGCCTATGCATAAAGAAGCAAAAGAAGGTTATAGAAGGAATTGCAAAAAAGGCTGGAGTGCACAACAGAGGAGAATTGGAGAAGGTTTCAGGGGTCCTGGAGAGAGTGGCGGACCAACTGAAAGCAGAATCCTCCTCGGAAGAAATAGAGAGACTTAAAGCCGACAACAGACGCTTGCAGAAGCAGATGAAATTTCTGCAAGAGCAACTGTCGGCAATCAAGAGGGGATATGAAGAAAATGCTAAGATAGCAAAAGAGATGAAAGGGACAAAGAGATCACAAAGGCAAAAAGAAACAGAAGACACTGCACCTGATTCCAATGCCGACATGATCTCAATGTTAAGAGAGATAAAAGAAATGAGGGAAGAGTGGAGATACGATATTATAGAACTGAAGGAAGAAATTAAAAGAGAAGTAATGATCTCCATGGGAAAAATGGTGTCTGCTAGGATAGAAGGTCTTAGGGATAGACTTCTGCCTGAAGTAAATAGAAGACCACCACTAAGAGCGGACAGAATTAGAGAGGAGGAAAAAGCTCAAGAAAAAGAAAAGGAGAAAGAGAGAGGGAATGAAAAAAGGAAAGTGGTTGCAGCAACTGTGAAACCCGGCAAGCGACCTGAAGATCAACCTCCACCTCAGGAGCGCTTACCGCAATCACAGTGTCAGCCACCGAAAATACGGAAACAGAGGAAGAAGGAGAGTGGAGGACAATAGAGAAGAGAAAGAGAAGGAATAAAATAGGAGAAAGAGCCTCATATGCTGAAATTCTAGGAGGAAAGAAGAATGACAGCAGAAAGAAAGCAGAAGAGAAGAATACAAGGAGCGATAGGAAGGAAGAGCCCAGGAAGCAAGTTTCCAAGGCAAGCAAGGGAAACACGGTTGCTCCTGGAACACAAAACAAACCCATCGCACCAGAAAAGAAAAAAGAGATGGACAAAAAAGTTAAGCCCCCAAAACCACCGAAACCCCCAAAAACAGCCGCGATCGTCATCACGCTGTCAAAGGAGGCATTGGAGAAAGGGGCCAACTATAATGATTTAATTACTCTCGCAAGGAGAGAAATTAAACTGACGGAATTAAATATAGGGAGGGAGGAGATAAAGCTAAGGCACTCTGCAACGGGAGCCAGGCTGCTGGAAATATCCGGCGAGTCGAACCCCCAGAAGGCAGACGCCCTAGCCACTAAATTGAAAGAAAAACTTGGAGAAGAGGCCATCATCTCGCGCCCTACGAAATGCGTAGACATTAGGATCGTAGACCTAGACGATACGGTCACGACAGAGGAGGTCAAGGCTGCCGTAGCGGAGCGGGGAGGATGCCAAGAAGGAGATGTAAAACTGGGGGGCATTAAGACCGGCCCAGGGGGACTAGGGACGGTCATGGTCAAATGTCCAGTAGCTGCAGGACTAAAAATAACCAAGGAAGGTAAAATCATGGTGGGGTGGACCAGCGCCAGGGTGCGGCAGCTCCGGGGCGGCGGCGCCGTCAGAGCCCCTAGGGGTCCCGGCGTCGCCGCCGCTCCGGGGTCGCGCAATCGCCGCCGTCGGGCCGTTACGTCGGGTTTGTCCTAGGACGATTCGACGTGCGGGCCCGACGGCGGTGGGGGTGTGGCGGGCTATGGCAGACTACGTTTGTCATGGTCAGCGATGAAGGGATGGAGTCGGCGACTGCTCGGCGGCGAGGCGCTCACCACTCGCCGGGACGGCCGGCCGGCCTGACGTTGGGGGGAGGAGCCACGTCGAGCGGGAGTCGACACCATGGCAGCGGGATTGCTCTGACTTTTCGCTCGAAGGGCGCCAGAGGGGCGCCGGGGCTGCCCGAGGGGTCCAGCCCGAGGGGGAGGCCGAGGAGCGATCAGTCAGAACTTAGTCAGACGATACAGGGGGTCCTGATAGCCCATTAGCGCATCAGGTCCTCCTTAGGAGGCGACCATGGGGATGACTACCTCATGGTCATTGCACCACCTCCAGTTGTCTAGGGAGGTTTCTTGGTAACCACTTGGGAAACCTCCCCCCGCAGAGACGGAGGGATACTACCGGGTATCCCCAACGGTTCGGATATACCCGGGAATTAACTCTTAGATACCGGGTACCGGACTATGCGCGAAGGTGGTACGGGGGGTTTTGCAAGGTAGGCCCACTGCACTGGACCGCCGTCCCTTGCAGTGGGAGAGCCCGGGATTTGCTGGGCCAGTCGTAGAGGTACCGGCGAAATGTTAAGGCCAATTCCCCTCGGTATAAAAAAAAAAAAGGGTGCGGCAGCTGGAGGCCCTCCCCATGAGGTGTTATAAATGCATGGGGTTGGGCCACACCAGGTTCAAATGTACCGCAGAAGCGGACAGAAGCAGGGTCTGCTTTAAATGCGGAGAAGCAGGGCATAAGATAGCAGACTGTAATGCAACCCCTAAATGCCTCATTTGTAGCGAGGCAAATAGGAATAGCAACCACGTGATGGGGAGTAAAGCGTGCTCCCCACCACCAATGACAAGAGGAAAAAATTCTCCAAGGACCCGGATGAATAACAAAGAGAGGGAAGACAGAACGGAACTGAAATGGAACTTTAATTTAATCCAATGATCCATTCACAAAAATTAAAGTTCATACAGGGGAACACAAACCACTGTGCCCGCTCCCAGGACTTGTTTCTCGGTACCGCGGGCACATGGGAATCAGACATGACAGTGTGCGCAGAGCCATACGTCATTCCACAGAATGATCAATGGCTCGGTGACACACACGAATCAGTGGCCATAATCAGGCTGAATAAATCTGCGGGCTTCCCTCCTCTCGTATTCCGCGAAAGAGGGGAAGGTTATGTTGCGGCATGGTTGGGTGATGTAACCATCATCGGAATTTACTTTTCTCCAAACCGCACAATCGCGGAGTACGAGAGATGGGTCGAAACTCTAGAAAGAGCGACGCTAAGGCTGGCCACTGACAAAATGATAGTCCTGGGGGACTTCAACGCCAAGCACCCGGCTTGGGGTTCCCCAGTGACTGATAGAGAAGGACGGTTGATAGTGGAATACGCCACTACAACAGACCTAATAGTAGCAAACCGGGGAAACGCCTTCACGTGTGTAAGACCGCAGGTGGGGTCCATCGTGGATATAACGTTCACGACCCCTGCACTTGCATCACGAATCCAAAACTGGAAGGTGGATCCCATGGAAACGCTGTCGGACCATCAGTTCATCAAGTTTAAACTCTCCCCTATCCCACCTCAAAGGGGCAGCACAACGAGGGAACCTGGAACGACAGTCCAATTTCCGAAGTGGGCAGTCACAAAACTGAATGTGGACAGGCTGATAGAGCAAGCCAACTATCAGTCGTGGACCCTAGAAAACGCCATTCCTACAGATGCGGATGTGAATGCCCACCAGGAAGAATTGAGGAGAGCAATGACCTCAATATGTGATGCGGCAATGCCGAGAATTTAGAGGTCCCCCAAAAAGAAAGGGCGTGTACTGGTGGTCGACGGAAATCGAAGACCTCAGGGCAGCATGCCACAGAGCCAGACACGCCCTACAAAGATGCAGGAGGAGAAGCACCCGGACACCAGAGGAAGAGGAGGCCCTTAGAACGGATTACAGCAATCGGAAAATGGACCTTGAAGCTGGAATAGGAAAAGCCAAGGAAAAGGCCTGGCAGGAGTTCCTGGAGGAACTAAATAGAGATCCGTGGGGTCGCCCGTTTCACATGGTCAGGAGCAGAATGCGGAAGCAGGCCCCACCAACCAGCTCTCTAGACCCAGCACTCCTGAACAGAATAGTGGAGGGTCTTTTTCCTACCAACCCCCCGCAAGTAAGACCGCTAATGCCTCATCCGGAAAGAGCGGAGCAAGAGGAGGAAGAAATTCCCCCGGTTACTCAGGAAGAGCTGAGGGATGTGATCATGGCCAAAAGATGCAAGAAAAAGGCACCGGGACCTGATAGGATCCCGGGTCGCATCTTGCCCATGACACATAGATACATGGGAGAAAGCTTAAAAAAGCTGATGAATAAGTGTCTGACAGATGGAGTATTCCCAGCAAACTGGATGAAAGGGAAACTCTGTCTGCTCAGAAAGGAAGGCAAACCACCAGAGGTACAGTCGGCGTACCGCCCGATAGTGCTTCTGGATGAAATGGGCAAGGCGTTTGAAAGGATAATTGGGGATCGCACAACACCTAAACAATGTAGGCCCCAATTTATCCAATCATCAATACGGATTCAGAAGGAACAGAAGCACTATCGACGCCATTATGGAGCTCCGCAAGGTGACGAAGGCAGCAGAAGAAAGGGGAGAGAGAGTTGTGGCAGTGTCAATCGACATCAGCAATGCCTTCAACTCGCTCCCCTTCCCTTGCATAGCACAGGCCCTGGAGTATCACAGGCTCCCCAGGTACTTGGTTAGAATCGTCACCAACTATCTGGAAAACAGGGAGATACTATATCAGGACGCGGAGGGAAGAACCATCTCCAGAGAGATGACGTGTGGTGTTCCACAGGGGTCGGTCCTCGGGCCGCTCCTGTGGAACATGGGGTATGATTGGCTGTTGAGGGGGAGATTACCGAGAGGATTGGGGGTCATCTGCTATGCAGAATCACGGCTAGAGGGAGCACCTTCGGAGTGGCGAAAGTCATCGCCGAAGAAGGAACAGCCCACATCATACAGAGAATA